TTCTAAGACTAGATTTTATTGATTGTAATTAAATGATATGTCACTTTTATTTATTGTCATTTTGTGAATATAAGAATTAAGGCCTGATGCCTAAGCCTTTGATTTGGCTTTAAAATAATGGCATTGCTTATAAATAAAACATACCGTATTTTCCGGCGTATAAGATGACTTTCTAAACCCTGAAAATCTTCTCAAAAGTTGGGGGTCGTCTTATACGCCCAGTCGTCTTATACGCCGGAAAATACGGTATTTCTCTGAAGAGACAACATTGCCTTCTATTGAATACATAATTCAATCTGCTCTTCAGCCTCACTGCCTATAGGGTACTACTACCATATCTTGTTGCTCTGATGGTTTTATTTGCTTTCTCAAGTTAAAGTTTTAATTTTGTAAGAAGAAATTTGTGATCTGAGCCCAGTCAGCACTAGGCCTTTTTTAAATTTCTTGATCGAATAGCGCTTCTATGACCATCTATTTTTCCCTTGAAAAGTCATTAGATTTAGTTATTAGCATTTGTTTGACTGTATTTCTGGAATATTGCAGATTCATAAAAAATTGAGTTAAAAATCTAATACAGGTATAGTCCTTGACTTACAACCATTTATTTAGTGACAATTTACAGTTATAACGGCACTGAAAACTAACTTATGATGTTTTTTACACTTAATGACCACTGCAGCATCCCCATGGTCATGTGATCAAAATTTGGTTGTTTGGCAACTAGCATGCATTTCTGACAGTTGCACTGTCCCAGAGTCATGTGATTACCATTTGTGACCTTTCCAGTTGCCTTTTGACACGTAAAGTCAATGGGGGAAGCCAGCTTCGCTTAACAAACACATGATTAACTTGACATCTGCAGTGATTCAAAACTGTCGTAAAATGCGACACAACTTATTTAACAACTGTCTTGTTAAGCAACAGAAATTTGGAACTCAATTGTGGTCATAAGTCAAGGACTATCTGTAATAATAAACCACCATTTTTTTCATGGAGATATAGAAACAATCATTTAAAACACAAAGCAAGTTCACTATCATATTATGCGTTTAAGCAATTAATGCACAAACCTCTAGGAAAATCGACCTCAATATCAAGATCTGGCTCATATGGGACAACAGGCAAGCTTGTCTGTGTTTCTGTCACAGAATTAAGCAATTCTGTCTCAGTTATTACATCTATAACTGAATAAAGACAAATATGTTACCATACTTTTTGGTATAATCCATGCAATGTTTAATAAAGGTGATTTATAGTAGTAAGACAGAAAAGCAGGCAAACATACAAAAATATCTGATATAAATTGGTCTTTATATATGATATGTAATATTTAAGGAAAGAAAAAGGTCTATTAATTCAAGAATCACTGCATTTCAAAAGAGTAAAAAAGGCAACAAGGCTGTTGAAAATTAGATGAAGTGATATATTTGGACCGCTACACAATTCAAAGTCACAAAGCCAGAAATTAGTAACACAATGCCCACAGGCACCATGATATGTATTATCCTTTTCTCGGACATTGTCAGTGAGATACCAAAACTAAATTAAAAATGAATTTCAGAACTTTAAGATTTTGTTCATTGTACAAAATACCTATACCCATTTCTTTCTCTTTCTCATTGTATGTGTGTGCATTTTGTAATTGTACTACAGAGCTACTGCAATACTCTCATGAAATACCAAAGTTTTGCAAAACAAAGATACACCCATATAGAAATTCAAGTTTGTGGAATGTGTACTTTCATATCCAGAAGTATATACCCAAATACAAGAAATTACATTTTCAGGAGGAAATACTATCTGAATTTTCCTTTGCTAAGAATGGGAATGTATCCAGCTGCATACTTCTACAAGAACATATCCTTATTGATTGGATGGAGAGGATTGCTATTAGCAATGCTGAGTCATTTCTTCCAGAAAAAGGTGGAAAGGAACAAAATTATCAATACTGTCCTAACTGAGTTTGTTTGGGTTACAATGGTTGCACAGGATTTGTTTTCTGCTAGGTTTAAGTGTATTGTGCCATGCGTTTGTGAAGTGGTTGTTTCCCTAATGTACAGGTCTGCACACGTCTCACTACATTTTCACTGAGTATATAACATTACTCTGTTCGTATCACAACAGACAGAGAAGAAGTAAACAACAAACGAAGCAATGTTGTCATTCCATATCTTTCAGGGATACCGGAAAAGCTCAAGAGGATTTTCAACAAACACAACATAAGTGCACACTTTAAACCCAGAAATACATTAAGACAAGAAGCTTGTCACCCCAAAGATAAAACATCCAGACACAAAGAGAGCAATGTTATATATGCAGTGCAACGGAATGAAACATGTGCAGACTTGTACATTGGGGATACTAAAGAACCACTTCACAAATACATAGCACAACACAGGAGAACAAAGACAGGATTCAGCAGTAAATCTGCATCCAAAAGACAAAGGCCACTCTTTTCAAGACAGCAAGGTTCATATTCTGAATAGAGAATGACCACTGATTTGAAAGATGAGTCAAGGAGTCCATCTATACTAAAATTAACAGTTCTCCCTCAACAGAGGGGGAGTGATACACCACTATCTATCTCCTGTTTACAATGCTGTCCGTTCAGTAAGAAGGTTCCACACACACTTGCCCTCTGATTCAGGTGACTCTGGGGATACAGATAAACCCCTAAGGGGTTTATCTGCAAAGAATATAAATCCTTCCATTCCCCACCAGTTAAATAGAACTGAAGTAGCTTCTTGGATTAGAAGCAAAACATTTTCAAAGGGGGAAAAAAACAAGAAAGTCCAGTTGAATTTTGAAAAAAAGAAGCACTTTTGGGATAATCCACATTCATACAATACCCGTTCAAGTCTTGACTTCATCTACTGATTTACCACACTCACTTCTTAAATATCCAATTCTACAATGTTCAACTAATTTGTATGTTTTCTTGACATATTCAGTTCTCATTTCTGTATAACAATGAGGGCAGAGGCACACTCCTATGCCCAATCATTTTGGCTTCTTCTGAGGAACATCAACTCCTTAGAAGTAACCACATACTACTCACCACTCTTCTCCTATCCATCTTATCTTTGATAAACATGTTAGTAGATAGTTTTTCATTACTATGTGTAACATTTTCATTTTGTGTTCTCAAACATAACTATCTTGATCTTTCAGAGTCACTTTCAGATCCATAACCTTTATACAATTTATCTAAAATTTGCTATAAATCAATCTCAGTCTGGTGTCATACCAAAAAGTATGCACAAATTCATATTCCCAACAAACACGTCTCTAATGTTAAGACAAGTATTCATTATTTATTTATTATGGATTTATTATACATTCTTGTCTTATACTCTGCTCATTGTTGAATAATTTACTAATCATCCAATTTGTGCTCACACATGCTATACTCTATCCTGTACTACTCTTGCTGTATTTAGCAACTTGCTTATAATTCCATATTCATGCTAAACATCCCATAATTTCAACCTCTTCACTTTATCACATGCTTTCTGTAAATCAAATCTTTTCCATACCTGATTCATATTTTCATTCCTTGAGTCACTCTAGTTTTATTCTACTTTCTTTCGTGTATTTCCTTTTCCTGGTATTGCAATTGCAGAAATTACTGTGTACTGTGCTAGTAATTGATACAAAGATTATACTGTTTTATGTAAGTAAATTCTCAAAGATGGACAAAGTATGACAGAAAAACTAACAACGTAATCTATAGACCACTGATATTGGCAAAACAAAAATTAAAGACATACTTTTGAGCTCTGCGGGTTCTACATGCTCTTTTTTT